AAGCCCTTTTGAAACCCTCTTTAAACCTTCTTGAAACCCCTCTTAAACCCTTTTAAAACCCTTTTGAAACCCTTATGAAACCCTCTCTAAACCTCTTTAAACCCTCTGAAACCCTTTGAAAACCCTTTTAAAACCCTTTTTTTTTGAAACCTTTGAACCCTTTTTGAAACCCTATTGAAACCTTTGAAATCCTCTTTAAAAACCCCTCTTTAAACCTTTTAAAACCCTCTTTTAAACCCATTTTGAAACCGTTTTGAAACCCTCTTTAAAGAAACCCTCTTGAAAACCCTTTCGTAACCGCCAGCGAAACCCCAGGGCTACCGGGGGCCCCACGGTGCCTCAGGGGTTGTGGTTGGGAGGTGGGGGATGGGGGGGGGGGGGGAAAGGAAAGAAGATAAGAAGGGAAAGAAGAAGGAAGAGAGGAGAGGAAAGAAGATAAGGAATTGATTGGGGAGAGGGAGGGCGGGGCGGTGGGGAGGGGGGGATGGTGGGAGATTGATATGGGGAGGTGGGGGGGAAGAGGGGGGATAAGGCATCGGAGGAGGGAGGGGAGGGGGTGGGGGGGGCAGTCATTGTCATGATTGGTAAAATCTATGCAGTATTCAGAAGTTTGAACAGCGATTGGTTGAACTATATACAGCATATGCATATGCATATATATATATATATAATATATATATATATATATATATATATATATATATATATATTATATATAATATATATAATATATATATATATATATATATATATATATATATATATATATATATATATACATACACACATATATATATATATATATATATATATATATATAATATATATACATATATATATATATATATTATATATATATAATATATATATATATATATATGTATATATATATATATATATATATATATATTATATATATATATATATATATATATATATATATATATATATGTATATATAGCACATATACACATATGCGTACATACATACATACACACACATACATACATATATATAATATATATTATATATATATATATATATATATATATATATATATATATATATATATATATATATATATATATATATATAAACACCTGTGTGTGTGTCTGTGTGTGTACATATATATATATGCATACCACATGTATATATGAATGTTTACGCGTACGTGTAGATGTCTACATACATACGTAATGCGGTCCAACGCGTAAATTAGTCGTTAAACCGGCAAAGCTGGCTGTATCAGAGTGTTTACGGCTTCCATAACACTATATAAAAATACTTAAACAGTTTACTCCAATTTGAAGAGGGATAAGTCCATGTAACTCTCATTAGATTCTCTTTAGTAGAATGTTTGTGTTTTAATGTTCGTCTGCGTGTCTGCATTATGTGTGTTTTTGGTTGGTTGTTTATGAGTGATATATATATGTACATAAACATATATATATGTATATATTACATATACACATATATATACATATATATATATATATATATATATATAATATATATATATATATATATATATATACATATATAATATATATATATATATATATATATAATATATATATATATATATATATATATATATATATATATATATATATATATATATATTATATATATATATATATATATATATATATATATATATAATATATATATATATATATAGTACGACACACACACGCACACAAAGCAGACAGTTGCTTCATGAGGCAACGAAACTGATCCGGACACCGAGACAACTTCTGATTCCCTCGCCGTCTTCCTCTCCGTCCTCCGGCACCGCGACGGCGCCCCTGGCGCTCCTGGGCCCGACGCAGCGTTCACACGGCAGCGCCTCGGAGGGCCGCCCGCTCGCCTCAGCGTCCGTCGCAGATCTGACGGGGCTTCGCGGCGGCGCATCACACGAGTGTGCTTCTCTCGTCGTCCGCGTCCGCGCAGCGCCCGCACGCCCCCGGCGCCTGCCCGTCCTCCTGCCGGTACTTGAGGGCGTAGTTGGTGTGGGACGTGAACTTGACGACCTCGTCCTCCGAGCTGAGCGCCACGGCCGGGCACGCCTCCCGCGGGGCGCCCTCGCCGCGGCAGGAGGGCCTCCGCGGGCTGTTGACGGCCCACGCCTTGGGGCTCTCCACGTCGCAGCCGCTGTCGCTGTGCACCGTGACGGCGCAGCCCCAGGCCGGCGTGACCAGGCACTCGGCGTCGTTGGCGTCGTTGACGGCGTTCTTCTTCTGCGCGAGCGTGGGCGTGCTCGCCTCCTCGTCGGCGTCGTCGTCGTCGTCGTCGTCGTGGTCGCTGGACGCGCTCACGTCGCAGCGGGAGAGGCGGCTCTGCACGGAGCGCGTGGCCGAGACCCACTCGGCCTCGTGGGAGCCCGGCTGGCCGTCGGGCAGCGCCAGCACGTGCGGGTTGCTCTTGGAGAGGCTCTTGGTCTTGACCTTGAGCGACTCGCCGCGCCGCTTGCTCGAGAACGACGCCGGACGCCGGTACTTGACGGTGCTGGCGCGCGGAGACAGGTCGGGCATGAGCTCGCGGTCGATGTAGTCGCAGCTGATCTTCTTGAGCGCCTTGCCCTCCGTCTCCATGGTGTGGCTGCGCCGCACCTTGGCCGACCCGCCCTTCTGCTGCTGCTGCTGCTGCTGTTGCTGTTGCTGCTGCTGCTGCAGCCTGTTCTTGGCCAGGTTGACCTTGACGGGGCTGGAGTGGCGCCGCTTCATCACGCCGTCGAGCTTCTTGAGGGCGAGGTGCACCGCCGTCGGGGACTTGGTCACCTGCTTGGGCGAGAGCGAGAAGCAGGCCGCCGTGTCGCTGTCGCTGCTGCCGCTGCTGCCCACCACCTCGCCCGCGCCGCCCTCGCCCGCGCCGCCGTCCTTGGCCGCCAGCGACTCCTCCGAGCGCCCGTCCGCGCCCGCCGCCTCCGAGCAGTCCGTCATGATGATGCATCCCTCCCGCACCTCCATGGTCATGTCGCCGCCGCCGTCCGCCGACTCCTCCGCCAGGTGGTCGAGGGCGGCGCTGGCGCGGGGGCTCCTCATGGGCGACGCCCTCAGCGCGGGCGGCGCGGTCGGGGCGCTGCCGTGCACCACGCCCATGTAGCGGTAAGCCCTGAAGGACGCGGGCGTGTTGTCCTCGGGCACCACGAACTCCTCGGGCGTCGTCAGGAGGTCGGAGGCCGTGACCTCGGCGTCGAACTCCGACTTCTCCTCCACCACCGTGTCGAGGTCGATCTCGGGCATCGGCTTGAACCTGCGGGCGGGATGAGAGGCGGATTTAGGGGTCGACCGCAAGGAAAGATTTGCTCTGCGCTCCGCCAAGAGGGAAGGAAATTCAGACCTGATTCTCTAGAAAGCTAAAGCCGTATTCCTCTGATTTGACTTCAATATAAATAAAAAAAATGAAAAGAAAAAAAGAAAAAGATAAAAAAAGATGGAAATAAAAACAAAACCAAAGAGCGTTTTCGGCCATCATCAGCTGAACAAGCTACAGACATATTTGTCAATTTTCGAAGGGATATTTTGTTCCGTAAAGAATAGATAAATAAACAAAGAAAAAAATAGAATTAAACGAAATAAATAGATAAAGAAAGAAAAGAAAAAAGAAATAATTATTATTAATAACAAGAAGAAAACAAAATTGAAATAAACTAAATAGATAGCTAAAGAAAGGAAGAAAAAATTACCTGACTAATGTTTTCTTCTTCCTCTTCTTCGGGCGCGGACCTTTGCCTGGAAGGAGAAAAATAACACCATCGATTACGAATGATATTTGATGAATAATACATCTATATCATTTTCTTTCCGACATTTAAGTAATAACACCCCCCACCTCCACACACACACACACACACACACACACACACACACACACACACACACACACACACACACACCACACAACACACACACACACACATATATATATATAAATATATAATATATATATATATATATATATATATATATATATATATATATATATATATATATATATATATATATATATATATATATATATATATAAGCATATCATTCATTTTATGCATATCTTTTTATATGATTACCGAACAGCATAGTCCGTCACATTTGAGCTCTCATTCCCCTAATGCATCGTCATCAGCATTTTAAAGCTACTTCTCTGAGGTCAGGAATCAGCTAAGTGCAGTCACTCGTTCCGCCAAAAACATATATACAGGATAATCCTAAAAGTACATAAGCAGAGACCGGAAAGAAGAAGAGAGAAGAAGAGAGAAGAGGGAGAGAGAGAAGGGGGAAGGAGGGGAGAGGGAGGGAGGAGGGAAGGAGGGAAGGAGGGAAGGAGGGAGGGAGAGGGAGGGAGGGAGGAGGGAGGGGGAGGAGGAAGGAGGGAAGAGAGGGAGGGAGGGAGGGAGGGAGGGGAGGGAGGAGAGAGAGAGAGAGAGAGAGAGAGAGAGAGAGGAGAGAGAGAGAGAGAGAGAGAGAGAGAGAGAGAGAAGAGAGAGAGAGAGAGAGAGAGAGAGAGAGAGAGAGAGAGAGAGAGAGAGAGAGAGAGAGATAGCGGAGTAAATAACGAGAGGAGAGAGAACGAGAGAGAGAGAGAGATAGACAGACAAACAGAGAGAGAAAGAGAGAATGGAAAGAGAGAGAAGCATAACAGAAACCGAATTCATGGAGATAAGGAATTGACAAGGCTTCCAAAATGAAGGCTTTCATAACCGTAAATCGCCTTTCCTTCGACCCGAGAGAGGAGGTCGCTGGGTCCAAGATTTCGCCACAAAAAACAAATATGATATTCATCTTCACTTTCTTTTTATGAATTCATGATCGTCTATAATCGTTTTTTTTTGTGGAATTCTTATACACACATGTGTTATATATACACATACATATATATATAATATATATATATATTATATATATATATATATATATATATATATATATATATATATATATATATATATATATATATATATATATATATATATAATATATATATATATATATATATATATA